TATTTTCTCTAATAGTTTCCCAAGCTTTATTAACATCCACCTCAGATTCCAAGTTTTCCAAAGCTGTGAACCTATTTGAGATTTCAACACAGTACTGCTCTTTACCATCTACCTCATTTAATTCCTTGAGATTGAACCTCTCCATATGAAGTCTGTGTGTTGTTTGTTTGCTCACTGCCAGTCTTTGCCACCACCAGGTAGTGGTCAGTATCACAATCTGCTGCCCTGAATAATCAAACATTAAGTATACTTGAGTGCCGTCTCCTATCTATGTTAAACTTTATATGTGTGCGTGTGTACCGTTGAGCTTATTTCCTGCCTTTTGGAGTTAGAGGCCCACTATGGGCCTTGAGAAAGAGATCCTCAGCTCTTCCGACTGCAACAATCCTTACCCCTTTCAAAATAAATTACCTGTGATAATTAGCAAGCCCTAATTGGAGCTTGCGGTCGCACAAGAAACGGTAATACTACTGAATACGTTATTTAGAGAAGAATAGACCAGATAGTAGATTATTATTATGTATGACAAAGAAGATATCACAGGGGGAAATAGCGATTGTCTGTTTCAAGGCAGTATCTTTCTTAGCTTTGAGACACAGAATAAAACCAAGAAATATCTCAGAACAGCCTATGTCCCAGATGAGATACAAATTATTTACAGGGGGTGGACAAAAAAATGGAAACACTAAAAACTGGGGAATAGATTTTGTGTTGGCTACACTGAAAAACCTCAATTGGTAACACTGAGTATTTATCTGGCGTTTGTTTACACACTGTAGTGCTCGTGTTAGTGCATTATAGATTGTGTTGAGTGATAGTCTGTGTGAAATAATCGGAAAATGGGAGACTTGTCCGATTTTGAAAGAGGACATATTTTTGGTGCGCGTTTAGCTGGAGCATCTGTGATAAAAACTACCATATTATTAGGTGCATCGAGAGCGACAGTTTCTAAGGCCATGTCGGCATACACAAAATATGGGAAGACACAAACAGCGAAGAGGAACAGTGGGCGAAAACCTACATTGCCATAAAAGATTATCCATACATTGAGAAGCACTATTTCCAAAATCACGCAACTACTGCAACACAGGTAAAAGGTCAGTAGAAACGAATATTCATCTTGAAGCGTCTTGTTTTCACAAAAACTGTCCGACATGAACTTCGCAATCCAACATCCACGGTAGGGCTGCAACTGCTAAACCTCTGATTACTGAAAGTACTGCTCAGATGAGTAAACGATGGTGTCACGGCCATAAAACCTGGACATCAGACAAATGGAAACTCGAGCGTGATGTGGTCATATGAGTTGTCCTTCGCCCTGTTCCCTACATCAGAAGAGTTTGCGTTTGGAGAACACCCGAGGAAACCTACACTCCAGAATGCCCGGTTCCAACAGGTAAAGTGTTCTGTTGGAACCATTATCACCCTTCGTGGCCGAACTACTGCAAGGAAATACGTGAACAGGTTGGATAATCTGGTGTATCCCATGATCCAGACGTCATTTCCGAAAAACGATGCAGTTTTCCAAGATGACCATGTCCCCATTCACACAGCTGGAACTATTCAGTCATGGTTAGAAGAGCACGAAGATGAACTTCAACAATTTCCCTGACCAGCACACTCAACAGATTTGAACATCACTGAACCACTTGGAGACTACAATGAGGAACAAATTCCCACCTCTAACATCTCCAAAGCAACGCGAAGACGTGCTTCAAGAAGAATGGTATAAATCAATGTTAGAGTTAATTTCACCGACCACACAACACGTTTTTATTATTGTCACACTACATGTTTCGACCTCAAGACGTCATCCTCAGGTGTACGAACACAGTTGCACAATCACACGCAATCACATTCGTTTTTCCACTTCTTTCGAGCCTGTATCCTGTTCAGGCCTACGCTCAATAATATATGTAAAGTTTCTTATTATAAAATACAAGTTAAAAATACTATTCCAAATGTTGAAAGTCAAAATTTGAAATTTAAAAATTTAAAAAAATTTTCGTGAATCGAAGTTCAATTTCGATCACTGGTTATATTTTCACAATCACTTGTTTTCTTTGTGTATAGTTCACTTTAACTAGTTGTATTATTACCACTGGTTAAAAAGTTCATGAAATAAAGTTCAACTTATCATGTTGGCTGCACTTTCACTTTTGAAGGTCTCGCTTCTCTTCCGCGTCCTCTGATGCTGGATCTATTACGTTCCTTGTCATGATGGCTACTATATTATTGAGCGTAGACCTGAACAGGATACAAGATCGAAATAAGTGGAAAAAAGAATGTGATTGCGTGTGATTGTGCAACTGTGTTCGTACACCTGAGGATGACCTCTTGAGGTCGAAACATGTTGTGTGACAATAATAAAAACGTGTTGTGTGGTCGGTGAAATTAATTCTAATATTGATTAAATACACAACAGGATGCAAGAAACAATTAAATGGTATAAATTCCGCTAGAGATTGTTCAAAACTTTTACGAGTCCATTCCAAGGACTGAGACCGTACTGAAGGCAAAAGATGGTCCAACACCACATTCATAAAGAAAAGTTTAGAGTGTCTGTAGTGGTTCCATTAATTTGTTCAGTCCTTCTATCTCCTGAACACAAATCAAATGCAATAGAGTGATTTTAAATGGAAATCTTAAGTTACAAACTACTGGTTGTTGAAATACGAAAATATGAAATGAAGAAGTATTATGTAAAATTAAGTACTTTAAGTACTTAAATTTTAGTACTTTAAAAGTGTTAGCAAAACTTTGATATCTGTATTTTTCTCGATTTTCTTTACCCCTCACTTCTCATATTCTGCCTCATTTTTCCATCTTTCTTCATTTGTATATATAGTTGATGCGATGCAGCCGTGTAATGTTGAATTAAATAAATGATTGTCAGACCTTAGACGAGTTACAGATCACTTTATCTGTGGACTAGCCAAGCGAAAATACGGCACAAACCGCGATAGAATGCAGACGCGGTTTTGGTGGAGATTTATGACATACCGGTGATTAGGTGGTAACAGTGATTAAAAGCGGAGCGGATAATAAAAAAGGAAATTAAATGGACTGTTTGGTGTGAGTTGGGGCTTTTTCATATATTTCAGATAGAAATGAAAGCCAGATTTCTTAATATAATAAATAGCAAAAACTTGTGTACTACTGAACGTACTATTGCAAATTCTATTTACACATTAAGGAAGAAGAAATTTTTCATTATATAATTTAGTGTCCTATTTCTGTCTATATCAAAATCCGCATAGTGCCCAGATTTCTATTTTTAACCCATATAAATATTTAATAAGGAAAACATATATATACGACTTTAATTACAAATTCCATCAAACTTAAATTTCCATATACAATTCTCAATGTCACTATGAGTTGTTTTATATTATGTAAAACTATGACCTTAAGGAGTTCATGTGATTAGCAAAAGCGAGAGGATATTCCAATAGTAACACTTCGAAGACTGACTCTTGAGTCTGAATGTGACTCTGAGTCAAAGTCAAAGTTAGTTTACGACTGGCGACTTGCCATCAATCAGTTCGTCTTGGCGCCAAGACCCTTGAGGACCACGACCAGAGGTTCTTTAAACTGAACCCCTGAGGGCATAGTCCTTATGTAACATCTCTGTCGAGAGGTTGGGTTTTTCTCTTATGAATAGGCTTCGCCTTCGTCAAGTGTACGTGTCACACATATAACGTAGGTCTTCATAGTTATGGGGAATGCCTTTTATTCCCGGGAAGCGGTCAGTGGGATAAAAGTGATAATTTGGAATGAAGAACATCTGTTGGGGTTTGATATGTGCCACTGAGAGCAGAGCCAGATCTATATTTGCAGCTGTTTACTGAGAGGATTATTCGGGTTGCTGATTATCCGCAGGTCTTATTTAGAAAACCGACTTGTGTGTCCCATGTCAAAGAAAAATTTCATCCGAAATTGCTTACTATAAAGGAACAAGTATAAAGGGAACTGAATATGCACTTGGAAGCTCAAGAAGACTTTCTTCGTTTGGCTTATTTTTGTATAATGTATGTACAGAATCTCAGAAAATACATTTAGGTTTCTACCCTTAACGTTCGAATAAAACGTACTTAATATGTGTGCCACCATTTTATAAATTTCAATTTACTTGTTCCTTAGATAATATTTTACTGGGTTATCTTGTGGTTCTGATTGTCTGAGGAAAATTATTTCCCTTCAACCCAGGATAATCGGGACTCAGGTGACGCTGCAACCGGTGACATTGTGAATACATGTAGACCCATTGCTTGGGAACAAGTTGACAAACACATTTCCGTAGAGATGCATTCTTGGAAAACAAGACTACGTTTCCGTGGATATCTGTGTTCAACAGGCGTTTCTCTGGATACTGATACGCTATATAAGAGGCCGTTCAGATAAGAATGAAGTCACCTCGTGTGGAGGTGGGGTCGAGTACCCCCACCGTGACCTTGCGGGTCGTAGGAGGCAACGAAAAGGGAAGTCTCAAATCTGAGACAGTAAAATATGGTCGCGAGTACCAAGGGACTCGAACCCGAGAAAGATTGCGTCGGCAAGGCCATCAGCATATACAAAAGACAGACCCGTCTTCTCGTCAGAGAGGGCGCCCCACAAAAACAGGACCGTAACTGTCAAACACTAATGAATATGTGGTCATGAGCCCCAGATGGGACTCGAAACCAAGACTTACTCATTGACTGACCGTCAGTGGCAATGTGACTTTGACTTTAGAATGAAATCAGTCGTAGGGAGAGCAGAATAGTGAGAATCCCGAATGGAGCCAGTCGTAATCCAGTCAGAATGCAGTGAGTCGTAGGCAGTCATTTATTTCGAATTATTATAAGTTACTGTGATTATGAGTGATTGTAAAGGAGTGATCAATAAATCCAACCATCCAATCCGAAATCCGTTATTATTAGTAGTCAAGCCCATAGAGCCTAACAATATCAAGATATGTTACCGCTGGTCAGTAACGGTGTCTGAACCTGTGACCTTACCTGCAACCCCTCCATCAGGATCTCTTTCTTGTATTTCTCCACCTCCTCCATATAGCTCTTGTTCTGTTTCTGCCTTTCCCATTCGAGCTCCAGCCCCATGTTCGGAAGAGCAATGTCATCCAAGAAGCCATCTGAAATCACAGACAGAACGTGGCAAATTAATTCCGATTACAGCCAACTTTCAGTTTCTTATGCAACTGACAGCCGGGACATCTCAAAGCTGGATATTGCCTTCTACAGAAAACAGAAATAGGTTTAGGACTGTGATGCAACACCCCCCTGGAAAGAAAGAACTTGGAAAATAGAGACTTGAATGTGAAGAATATCAATATGTATAGATCGTAAGGGAGACGCAAAACGGATGTACCTCGTACAGCTGACTTTGGGGGTATTCCAAAAGGCATCAGGATAACTGATTCTCCAGTCACATACACACTAAGCAACTGCAGGATCCACAACAAAATACGCAGGGTTTGAGATTTTCACAGCGGTGATCACGAAGAGTTTTGTCTTCAGGGAAATAACGCCGTATAGCCCGTTGGAGGTAAACTGGCGTTTCGGAGATATATACCTTCTCCGTCTTCAGCGTCAAAGAGTAAAGAAGCAAGAAACCAGACTGAAGCAGGTAGAAACATCTGTTTCGACATTCAATGGACCACAGGGCATTATATCGCACAAGGCAGTATTGTTTAATTTAACTTTACTTCACATCAGACCAGTATAATCTTTATATTCCTTAAAAAAATGGCAGAGCTCTTCTTGGTGCCCGCTTCATTCCGTATTCTTGTTCGGTTTGCCCTTAGACCCTGAAGATCGAGGTAATGTGTTCGTCTGAAATGTCGGTTTACTTTCACTAGACTACACAGCCACGTATCGAAGAAGATACAAATTTTCGTTATCATCATAGAATTGGTCACCGAACAAGTGTATACAATATAAAACAGTCCTCGATAATATATGCATATTTTATTCGGTGAAACCGATGCGCTCAACAACTACAATATAATACAGTGTAATAAATTCATACAATAAAAATAATTTGTAGTTCTGCAGTCTGAAATAATTAACTTTATAATAGTAATATATTTGTATCTGTAACAATGAACATCAAGGTAAATTTTTCTACAACATACTTTATTTCCTCTTCATAAGACAAACTTTCCTGATCCAAACCTCTGGTTTGTCGCTTATTTTGGCGAGAAAACTGTCAAACGAACAAATTAATGAAAGGATATTGTAGAGATTCCACGTCAAAACATGTTAAGCACCTCAGAACTTATTAGGCTGCCAGTAATTGAGCAGCTTTTATTGTAAGAAGAATAAGAATATGTTTCCTATCAGGTGATTTTAAATACACTACACAAATTGGGTCACAACTTTCTGTTAATTTCGCTGTTCTACAAATCGATCTTTAAGTTCGTTGACTAGAAAATTTGCAAATTTCAGAGAGTATTACTGTAATTTTCCTTTTCTTTTGGTACTCAAACCGTTGTTTTTAAACAAATCAACCAGTTTCAACGTCAGTAGAGACAATAGGAGGCTCCACTCAAAGTGATACCACGCCGATGACAAAGCAGGGTTACATGCTTAGCTTCATGATTTATCGGCCATTCACTAGGAAATTAAAGAAGCACGGGCTTATATTCTTCTTCAGTTGTCGTGCATCTTTTCTTGTGACATTTAAAGTAAAGGGTAAAGTTATCCCTGCGCTTAATCACTTTAGCATCACGAGATGAACTTGCATGGGAAATGGACACGTAGTTCCGTCATTCTTATCTTCAGCATTAGATGAAGGAGAGCAGGCAGTTTCACGCCCCGTCAGTTTTACCAGCAGAGTAACAGTTCCCGTTACCTATTACACAGGAGGCTGAATGGATCACAGAAGTAGATGGACGCTGTAGAGAAAAGAAAAATCTCTAACACCTGCTCGGAATCAAACACAGATTCCTCAGTCCTCCAGACCGTAGCTTAGTCATATCTTCTTTCTTTTGGATGTTGCTTTCATAAGTAAATTTGAAAATATGGATATTTTGGTCATATGGTAGGACTCAGCCAGTAGATGGGCCCACTATAATGCCTCTGCTTAAACAGAACAGAGTAGAATGGAAACATACATCCAAGCCCAGAGCGTGTTTCAAACCCGAAGGTTTCAAGTGGTTCAGAAACGCAGTACTGCATATTGAAGTATATTTGGATTTCTCAAGCCGAAAAAATCAAGTTCTAGCCCTTAAAATTCTTAATGAATTCGTGCAATACTCGTACACAACGCAACATGACATGCGCCGGAACATTTTGATCACAGTTTTAATAATTTTAAAAGTAGGTTCCTGCCTTAAATAAAACACCACACCTCTGTTAATGACGTTTAGCGAAACAACTGCTGTTCAATATTAATGGGTTTATGACCTCTGTCCATCGTCTAATATTAGGGGAAAAACAGATTCAGTTTGTTTCCGTCTCCAGGTGAGCAGATGGGGACACCTCCATTCAGCTCCGTTAGAAATGCCTAATAGCAATCAAATGACGTCTTAATTCAGTGAACTAAGTACCTAAGATCAGGTTTTGGTCCATGGAAACAACAGTCACTGTTTGTTCTGAGAATACAACGAACCCCACAAATAGACAGTGCTGACGAAATGTAGTGTTACGTAAACCTTAAAGCAAGAGGTACATATAGTTACCACTGTCATATAAAGAAGTGAGTGTTAAAATAGATTGTGTAACTGGACTATTGTAAGCATAATGTGATCGATATATTTTCAATTTTCGAGAATTCTGGTCACTGACTGCATTTCTGCGAGCTGCGATTGCAACTTCATGAATGTGTTCAGAATTTACGGTTGGTCAGTTCTCATAACTGTCGTAGACTCATTTCCAGCATCGCTGCTCTTCAGTCAGCCGGCACAATAAACACGTTGGGCCACTGCGGGTGGTATAGTATCGTGAAAAAAAATTAAAATTTGAGTGGTTTGTAAAATAAAATAACATTTCAATGGACGCGACTGCACCAACTGAATTATTATTGTCTGAATGATACCTGCTACATTGTTTTGTTTTCTGTTTGTGTGTATGTGTTCGTTCCTTTCTAACTTTGCTCCAGTTTAATTACCCCTTGGGTTGTGTTGAGTAAGCAAATAAATAAAGAACTTGAGTTATTCGCATAATCCTATTACATTATCACAAGAAATTAATTACTGGAAGTAGAGTTATCCCTGTAAAAGCCGTGGAAGCTCATTGATTGTCAGACGTAGGAACACCCACATTTTCTAGACAATCGGCTGACAGACGGCGGTGAGGTTGTCAGCCTTACGCGCCGGCCGTTCTTTACTCCCCAAGAAGATTCCTGGTACATATTTCTGAGTCGACCCCAGTGCCATAGTGCGGCTGGAGGTATTAGGTCAACTGAAAAATCCAATGACCCAATCGAGAATCGAACCAGCGACATTCCGGCTTGTAGTACGGCCCCTCGATCAACTGACGTGCTAAACACAAACACAATAGAAAGTATGAGTATGAGGAGTGAGCCCTAAAACTTGCCCTAGTACTGCGACCTTCAATGGTCTGTTGTGTTTCCCTTGTGGATTAACCCTTTATTAATCCTACATTTCTAATGAAACGTAGGACTTTGTTTACGGGGGCGTCACAACGGAAAGTAGTTCAGCAACCTTTCAATTTTATTGCCGGCCACGGTAGCGGAGCGGTCTAAGGTCTTCACTCGCTCGGAAGTCGGGATCGTGGGTTCGAATCCCACTTAGGACATGGATGTTTGATGTTTGTGTATGTGCGTTTTTCTGCGTTCGTGTACAGGTGGAGGCATTGCGACTAGCTGATCACCCGCCCAAGGAGTTCTACGGAACGTCTAAGATCTAGTAAACCGAAGTGAAACGGAGAGTTTCATGGAGATAGGCCAAGGCCAAACTTGAGGTTGTAGCGCCAAAAAAAAAAAAATTCATTATGAGTGTTTGTAGTGCAAAAGATATTAAATGTTGTCTGTTTCTTATATTATTTATTTTTCTCACATTGCTTATATAAACATTTTATATGAATACATTTAATTACTTCGGATTCGACCTGATTACTAATTCTTAATTTTAATGACATTTACAGCTTACTCAGAAACTTTGTGTGTGTCTAGGCTGACGATGATCAAGAGTAAACACAAACAAATATTTTAAAAGCGGGTTTCTGTGAAGGTGAAAGAGTCTAGTAATTGCCAAAGGTCAGTGTAACTCCTCTGTGGTTTGAAGCTGGACAGCCATATTTTAGACGAAAACTTCGAATTAATAACAAAACGGCGATTTCATTGGTTAGAAACAGCTACAGATTAATAATACAACAACCGGAACTATGCGTTCATGAAGCCAAGCCAATTCATCATGTGAGTGTGAAGTCACGTGGCAGCACACTATTAGTTATAGCGACAATTATATCCCCCCTTCGCTATATAGAATTTCATTACGCACTTTGCATGCAGATTAATTTTGCTTGTAACGATCCAGAGCTGATGTTAATTTTAATGATGTGTGTCAAATGAGGGGGGAGAGTTACAACAAATAGCGAAATTATCTTCTGTTGGCGAAAAACATTCATGGTGCAACTGGTGCTGTGTGTAGACAGTCTGCCCCCACGCTGACCAGGGTTCGGAGATTATGGTCTATAGTATAGTGCCGAGTGGACCCAGTTAGACTCCACCCCCCACTAAGCGAATTAAAAAAAAGAAGAGCTGGACGACTTAAGGCCCTCGCCCACTAGCACAGTGTCGTATGCGCGCAGTGCAGAGCGCAAGCTGCAGACGCATTGCTCTCCGTGTATTTAAATGGAAGTGCGCCCACTAGTGTAGGGTCGTGCCAGTATAGTACAGTATAGTGTAGTATAGTATCGTCTCCGTTGCTCGAAGAGGCAAACATTCTGCACGGCAGTGTCATGGCGGCACGCCGCAACCCCCTTCCACCTACCAAAACGCTTTGTCATTCCTGGGTTGAGTGTCAATGAGGCAAGACATGGCGTTCGAGGAAACATTAATCTCCACTGTACAAGAGTACAATATCCTCTACGACTGCAGTCATGCCTACTATTATGACAGCATGAGAAGAGAAAACGCTTGGACGGAGATTGGCGAAACGCTGAACGT